GGGGGGGGGGGGGTAGAGACAAAAAACTAAGTTTGATTAAAACTAATAGAACAGACGCAGCAAACATTTCAAAACAATTATGCGCGATAGTAATAGGAAAAATATTTTTTCTATTTAGGTAGAGTAAGTGTACTTATAATTGAATACAGAAAATTGCAAACTGACGTTTATTTGCAAGTAAAATCAAAGTTAGAGCCTGCAGTGATACTGTTAATTCATTGCACTTTTTCCACACACTTTGAATTCAATCACTGCTTAAGAAAACTATTAACATCGAGTAGAAATGATTGTGACAATTTAATAGATGGAAACAAACATGTTATGATAATGATGGAAACATTTTAACAGTGTAATTATTTTTATTTTTATACAATTTGTCCGTTGCCGTCTCTCCAGGAGGGAAAACTAATACCCTAAGTGAAATAATTGCATCTGACTCTTCTTTTATTATTGGAAATTAACGTCATTTACATTTGAATGTGGTGTGAAAATTATTGTGTCACAGCACTTGTGTAGATAAGCTGTTTGGTTTAAACTTTTCCAAACTTTTAACACACCGAAGCCCAGAAAAGACTCACAGCTCGGCGACGAGGCTTCTGAACAACCGTGTCCCGCCAAACCTCTCCTGACACCTGCGTGCGAATTGACGGCATACAATCTCATATTTAAATTCAAATTCACATTTCAATTAAATGTTTTTAAATTAAGTGTTTATTTATTTATTAATTTATTTTAGGTTTTGTACAGCTGCTTGTGATGTAACACATTTTAGTTGTAATTTATTATAATAAGACGCATTCATTATAAGATCAATAAAAGTAAACGGGGCCTGCTCGTTCTGCCTATAATATTATATGTTTGAGGTTTGCTTTCCTTTTATTTTGTCTTTTTATTTATTTATTTATTGCATTTGCTTTTTGCATGCATTTTACGAGAATCGTTTCCCAGTGAATTGTCTATATCGAAATCTGTATTATAGCTACGAACGCAGGGCTTTATTCAGCGCACATTAAATGCTAAATGTCAGGTGTGTGCAATTTTCCCATACAATTAAATGGAATTAATAATTTGTTATATTCTTTGTAATATGTCGGTTTTTATCCGGTGACCTATTAATTTGCATGCTATGTGTCAACACATGATAAAAGGAATATATGACTTTTAATCTCTAAAATTTAACGGCCATAACAGAGATTTATGCATTTTTTTCTGCCTTTAGTTAATGTTGTTATTAAATAAACATTCATTTGAACTGTTAAATTTGAGCTTTGTGATGATAAGGTGTTCTCTGATAAGATAGTGTTCTCAGTGTGATTAGAAACAATTTCCACAGCACGAGTTTTTGAGTCTCTTGCCTTTTGGGAACAAATTTGTACATTGTTGGTTTTGCTTTAAAAAGGAAATAAATTGTTTAAAACAAGTGAAATACTAGATGCTCTAAATTGAGCTTGGCAAGTAACCTGCATTTAAATGCTTATTTAAATTCATGCTTATTTAAATTCATTTAAATTCATTTGTTCAGCATGCAGCACAGACTTTATCAAATTTGTATTGTGTTTATAACATCATCAAAAAAATGATTCCATAAATGTGTTGAATGAAAACTCATTTGCAATGCTTTGATCAAACAGGTGTAATTTTGTGAAAAACACTTGCTGCATCATGAAATATCCACCGCCACCATCACAAGTTCATATCAATACATTCAGTTCAGAGTCACTCACCAAACAGGAGTTTATCACACTTCGTATATGCATGGCTGCATTGCAGTACAGAAGTTTAGCAGGTCACTTTTGCCAGCCTCCCCTTTTCTCTCCCACCATACTGAGCACACTATGTCACCAGCTAATATTAACAAGCGGAGATGACATGCGATTATCCTCAATGTCATCCCACCCCCTCCTTCCACTCACCGTATGTGCATAAAACCCTCAGATTTGGCCTGCCATTGGAAAGGAATGCCCGTACCCTTCACCCTCAGGGTGCTTTAGCATCCTAAAGAAGTTGTACCTGCTGTTTTTAAGTGCATGTGGGAATGAGATGACTAACAGGGGGCATTGAGATGCTAATGTGGGGTTGAATAGCGCTGTGCTTAATGTCCAAACCAATAAATAACAAATGGATGAGAAATTTGTGTGTCTCTGCACGGCGATAGCAGGTTGTGATCCTGGAAGTCCTCTCGGGAGCTTTTAATCATGTGGTGGTTTGTGTTGTGGTGGTCAAGAATGTTTTTGTGAGTCTGATGTCTCAGAAGCAGGGTTAGGCCAATTTGTTTTTAGAGTAGAGTGATTTGTTATGATAGATCTGTAGTGCATGAAGGTGACTACTAGGCTTTTTGCACATATGGCATTTAATCAAGAATCAGACTCCCAGATCTGTTGTCAGACTGTTGTTTTATTTATTTAATTATAAAAAAAAAAATCCAATGCATTTTGCTATGTTTAGCATTTTTGACCCTAACAAGCAGCCCCTGATTGAAAATTGCCCGGAAACCTTTGTTGTGTGGTGCTGTGGCGCTCTGCTTCCACTCATTCCTGTCAACAAGTCATGCAGGACTTCCAACTGAAACCACTTACTTTGATAATCCTCAACTTTGATATGTTCGACATCAAATGAAAAGGACACAAAAAGTGAGAAAGAGGAAAGGGAAATGAGTGAAAGTGAGTAATTGAGAAAAAGAAGCGATGCTCTCGAGCTGTGGGCCACATCAGATGAGAAGTTGAGTGTTTGTCAAAAGTGGTTGCCTATGTTTGTGTCTCAGCAGAGGGGGTCTCTAGCTTTGTAGGGGGGCTTGCTCTCAAGCTCTCTCTCCTTTTCTTCACCCCCTTCTAATCCCTAGGCCCAGTCATCCCTTCAGGGCATGCCTCAGATCTACCTCTATGTTAAAACGACCCCTTCCTTCTCTTCTTTTTGTTGCCCTTTCTGTCTTTCCTTTTGCTTTATCTCCTTTCACATTTTATCTTCACCATTTCTTTTTTTCTTTCTTTATATACAGTGGCCCCAAACAATATATGGACATGTTTGAACACTTATGCCACACTTGGATGAAGAAAATGTGTGGATTTTATTGTATAATATACAAAATATCACACCAGGATTTTCTCAGAAGTAACTTTAAATTTCAGAGCCATTTTTGTAATTATTTTTGCTATTAATTTTGACTTGTGTTTGTCCCTTCCATTGGTTGTACTACACAGTCGTAACTTGTGAGTAAACCAGTTCATTCACATACAGCCTGCAGGCAGTCACAGGAAATGAGCAGGTTTGTACCAAAGTATGAGAGTGACAGTTTGTTTACACTGGTGGGGCTGGCTGCTGGAAACTCAAAATTGACCTGCCAATTAGCCTGGCCATTTACCTTTTTTAAAGAGAAGCATTAGAATTAGAAAAAAAAAAAGTTGTAATGATAGTCCTCTAACTCCAAACCAGTACGGCTGCTAACCAGCATAAACCAATATGAACTACCACGGAAATTCATGATGGTCTTTTCAGACAGGGAGCTACTCACATAGATGTATGTGTCACTGTTAGCGCTAATGTTTTTTTTTTTTTTTCTCAAGTAGGTGGCTGCAAATAGCACACATTGTGTGTTGGCAAGAGCTACTTGGTTTTCCCCTTCTATTCGCTGTTCTGGTTGTAAAAACCGTCTGTAAACCTGTGTGAAGAGTGGCAACAAGAGAATTAAGTACTTCCCAGTTTGGTGGAAAGGTGTGTTAAGGACTTGTGACGGAGTGGTTGTGTGTGAATGAGTGTATGTTGGTTTTGATGTAAGGTATTTCGAACAAATATAAAAACACTGCAAGGGAATAGCTGAATATCAGATCCATATGTAAAAAGTGTCAGGGCATGTGTTCTCTCTAAATCACCAAGTATAACTCCTCTCCTG